CAATCTTAAAACTTAATAAAACATTACTGTTTAGTGTTTATTCAAGTGTGTACAAAGCATGCCTTATATCCCATTAAAGTTAGTGAAAATAAAATAACAATTTCAAATACACATTTAATCTGATATTTAATGATTTCAATATTATAGCGTTTCAAGTGTTGTAAAAACATTCAGCTCTCCAAAAACATAATTGGACAATTGACAGAAAAAAATAGTCTAGTTAAATATTTTTTAAGCACAAAATTAGAAAGTTTGATATGTTTGAGTAAATCTTAAACGAACACAGTCATTTTGCACTAAAAAAAATAATTTTTAAAAGTAATTGAGTCTTTGTCACAAACTATGATTTTCTAATCCCTTTATCTTTGAAACCCAATCAATTCTGTTAGATGAAAGAATCTAAGTTTGAAATATCAAAGGTTTACACCATCAGGTGGAAAAATATAGGTATTAAAAAATCATAGTTTTTTTCCTTTGTATATTTTTAGATGTATTTTCCGATTCTAAATTAATTTTTCTGATACCATTCAAATCTTCATCTTGTACTTGCTTATACTTACTCGATATTTTACTATGACTTTTACGCTGTTGCTCCTAACAAAAAATTCTTATAGGACAAATTTTGAGTAAAAACATCTGGAAATCCCACAATTAAAAAATATAAAAATATTTGCATTATTGTTGATGAATGAATTTTATTTCATAAAAAATAGTTAGTAAGTGCGGCTATTGTGAGAGAAGTTCTTATTTGGTTTCCAGGATATGATTTGGAAATGTAAAAGATACTCAAAACCATAGAGTAATAAAACGAAGAGGTAAAGCTTAGCTCAGATGTACACAACCGACCTTCCTATTAATTAATTAATAGAGTGATCGGTTGTGTACATCGGGGTGTGTTTACGTATCTAACACTGTGAACTTTTATAGAGTGTGATCGTTTCTAATGAGGTTTTTATGGAATTGACCAATTTTTAGATTTTCTTTCTTTATTTAAAGAGAATTCGATGATGTAGCCTGCAAACATGTGACAATTTTCAAAAAAAATATATTTTACATCTTCCGACCTTTTTATTGCATTTTTTTCGACCCTCCCTAGCACTATAAAACTTATTCGCTAAGGCCTTTTTCTATACATAGATTCAGACCCCCATTCTTATAGGGCTAAAGATAAACGCACCTAAAGTTGAGAGCAATGGTGTTGCATTTTTCTTCAAACTTGGTTTTCCCCCCTGATTTATATCTCCTTCTTTAAAATGGTTTCAGCAAATGAAACTTTTGAAGGATATTCTCCTTTATTAAAATAAACAAACAACTGAACTTGAATGTATTGCAGTATACAATCCTGTGTTTACAATCCAGTGTTTACAATCCATATTAAGTGTCTATCTAATTATCAATACTAATATTCAAATATCTACATAAAACCACCCCTTAGAAATACTATAACTCTATATATACAAGTGTACAGCGTTAGATACGTAAACATATCGTGATGTACACAACCGACCACTCTATTAATTAATTAATAGGGAGGTCGGTTGTGTCCATCTGAGCTAAGCTTTACCTCTTCGTTTTATTACTCAGAACAATAATATGTCTTTCTTCAGTTTTATTAAGTTGAAAGAACACAAAACCACATATTTTCTAAGTGAACTCTTGCGTTTTGTAATTTTTTTTTCAATAGCAAATTTAAATTTGTATTCCTCAAAATTGCCTTAAAAAATATATAAAAACAACTTGTTTTATTACAAAACAAAAAACAAAGTAATTGAGAAAGAAAAAAACCTTTTCAAAAATTAATATGAAATACGTGGAAAATGAAAAAAATACGTCCAGTTTAGTTGATGCGTCTAGAGTAAATTGTTATGGAGTGGGTGTTTGCCACACCTGGACGAGTATGACTGAAGGGGCTTGAAATGAGCTAAGCATCGAAATAAATATATCTTTTACGTGTGATCTAACATTTTATTAAAGGATTTATTCTTCTGTCTGATATAGTAGTTGTCTCCCCCCATAATAAATTACAAACATGTTTTGTAGTCTGATATAAATCAACATCTTGCTTTTGATATTTAAGATTTTATATAAATTCCAGCAATTAATCATCATCACGCGAAATATGTAACAAAAATCCTCCATAAATTATGACCAATCCCCCCCCCCCCCCCTTCTACCTCTCCCTTTTCCTCCTCATAATATGCTTTTTTGATAATCAAAACCTCAAATTTTGCAATGTGTCCATTTACTAAACTTTTAACAAAAATTATTAACTTGTCTTGAATAAATTCTGCTTTACCAAAAATTGGTAAGGCGCGGTCTGTACTGAATAAATTTAATATTTTACAACAAGAATCTTATAGATAATCAAAATACAAAATATGAATTACAATCATAGAGAACAGAATATATATTAGAAGGGAATTTACTAGAAAAAAGTGTAAAACGGCCATTTTGTTTTACTGTTTCCATACTGCAGGTGTACTTCACATATTTATGCTATATAAACTTTTGGGCCCTGGAATATCATTTTATAGAAAATCTAAAATGATTGTTAAAAGAAAATCAAATTATGAAATAGGCTGGTTTCATAATTGACAAATGATAATTTCACATAGACTCTATGCCTTCCACTTTACAAACGATGATTTTCCGTTATAACTATAAATCAAATGATGTTTTTTATTCACATAATTCATTATAAAGTTTATTTAACAGTTTAAAAAAATCGAAATTGAAATGAATAGTCTAGGGAACATCCTGTATTAATGTACTCTACTGCTTATAATTTGTGAATATTTACATGATTTGTACACTTTGAACTCCCTTCCAGGCTGAAAGGGACTGAACAAATTCATACCGAGAGATTCTTTAAATTCCCATCTAATATATATTCTATTCTCTATGATTACAATAATCAAAATAGTGTCTAGGTATTGCAATGATTTTAATGTTACTTTAATTTGAATTTGTATTATAAATATATTTATTACCAAATAAGGCACGTGTCGCTTTTTCCTGTGGTTAGATAAAATTGCATTTAAGACGTCGTCTGTGAGATTTGAGACATTTCAACTTTTAATTTATTTTGTACCGGACCGACATGGCTGAGCTAAGGACAATTTCCCTGATTTTCCTGAATTGGTGGATTATCTTCCGCTCTGTACCGGACCGTCGTGCCAGGTTCAGGGCCCGGTCCGCCTTCCCGGGTAGAATCTCATTTCAGCAATCAGCTCAGCATCTTCACTCTTCAGTCTTCAGTACGGTTTAGATCTCTGGAGAAGACGGACAAAGAGAAAGGTCTGTAAAAACAAAGTTAAAACTATTAAAAAGTTAGTTTTTTTGTCCCTGGAAGAATGGAGTAATTGCAGTTAGAGATAAACTACAAAACAAAACCATGTTTATTCAGGTAAATTTAGTTATTTGTATTAATAAAACAACAAGAATTATCAATTTTCATAAAAATGAGAAATATGTTTAGAAAAATAGATGAATGCTAGTGATAAATTTTGAAAAAAATATATATAGGCTAGTTGTTAAAATTTAAAGGGATTTTTCCATACATTTTTAAGCCATTGAAAAACTTCAGAATGATTATCAGAAAAGTTGCCTTGTTTGATTTTCTTAAAAACTTTTATTCTGACTGTTGGTCTTAATTCTTTTCTTTAACAAAGACCCTTTTTCTTTATACTTTATGTAACCATTTTTTTGATAATATTTTCATGCAGATTAAACAAAAAGCACATTTTAAATTATCTGTGTTTTTTTCAAATCTACATCTTATTTCTGCGAATATTGAAATTGCTCGCTCTAATTCAACAGTAGGGAGTTCTACCATTTTACAACACGCAATGGCAGAAATCTATGGAAATTTAAATACATTGAATTTATAGTCGGTAGATTTTGAAAATGATTTCTGTTCTGATTCAATTTTCAGAATACATACAAAACTACAAAAATCTTTTGGAATATTTTTGCTTTTTGAAATAAAAAATCATAAGAAAACCAAACTGGCCTATTTTGTTGCTAGTTTTGATGAAAATTATCCCATTTGAACCTAATTTACACATCCATCACTTTCAATGAAATTTAAACAATAATTTAACAAAATTACTGTTCTCTGAAGATATTAGGATTAATATGTAATTTTTGCATGAATTTTGCATAACTTTTGGCATTTCTTAGCCTGGTACAAAATTGGTTTAATGACTTTAAGACTAGGTTGCTAAATTTTTGGTTGTGTACGCTATGGTTATCAGATCTGAATATATAAAACAATATTCTTGAAGCTTTCACGTTTTCATCGCTTTATTTTATGTGATGGTTTACAACTTAAATTTCTTTCATCTTTTTTTCTTTCTAACCCTGCTATTCCCTACTGAATTTAAACTTTTTTCATGGTTTTCAACCTTCCTTTGAAAACATTTAAAACTTTTCTTGCAATCAATTTTCTAAAAGTGATTAATTAAAAAATAAATTAAATTCTTTAGAAAAGGGACATTCAGCTTTACTTTGCAATTAAATGAAAATAAGAATAAATAAAAATAATTAATGAAACATAAAATTTTTAGGTTTTTCTCCTCTTAGGAGGTTTGTCAATAACATAAAGTATACGTAGGGGAGGGGACAAGGAGGACATCTGTTTTAAAATCAATTTGAAACAATTATTCTTCATGTTTGATTAGCTTGTCAGAAATTATTAGATCTCAATTGACTTTATCTCATAAATCATTATATTAGTTGAATATATTTATATTATACATTATATATGTATGAATATTTGTCTTACATATATGTATTATATAAATTAATATAAGTACATGCTATATACACTATACAATATACATGTTCAAGATTCAAACAAGAATTATAAAGTTTTATCATTTTTAAGAATTACCATTAATTTTTTTTTTTGAAAATCTGGGAACATTTATTATATCATGTTTATCTAAGTATGAAGTAAAAATGGTATTTTTATTTCTTATTTGTGCAAAAATAACAATAATTTAATCTTTCAATTCAGGACCCCCAGTATCTCATGAGAAGGAGATGAAGCATATTGCGAGGAAAGGGGAGGATATCAGAATAGATTGTCCTATCGTCGGCAACCCGGCTCCTATCATCGAATGGAGGAAGGGTGAGGATATCATCGACTACTCCTGGATCCGGATCCGGACAAGTAAACGATCCATGAAGATCCGGAATGCACAGGAGGAGGATACGGGAATGTATTATTGCAAAGGCGTCAATGGATTTGGAAATACACAAGTTCGTGTAGACCTCATTATAATAGGTAAATATTCTGCTTTTAGGGAATAAAATGAACAATATAAAGAAAAAAATTGGTCTGAATTGCAGAAAAGTAAAAAATGAGGAAAATTGAAATTTTGCAAATAATTCTTGTTGGCACCATTATCTCGCACAAAAGCAAATGTGAACAGATAGATTGATGTCTAGATTGATAAATAGATGGATGGATAGATTAATGGAAAGATTGCCAACATTTAGCTACGATAAATCAGAAACATATAATTATCCAGTATAATCAATTTTATTCCTAACTCGATTTTAGCACACATTACAATCAATCGATTTGACTTATGTTCTAAAATTGGACTCTCCTTATTTGGTTATGTATTTTATAATCTTTACTTTTTCATAATGCAATTTGATTTTTTTTTAATTATAAATTTCACAATTTTTATTTATTACAGATCCGTCCGAGTTTCCTGAACTAGGAGATGGAGAACTACCAGATATATCACCTCCATCCTTCACTCAACTTACACAAGAAGCAAAGGAGTTCTTTATCAAACAGTCTGGGGACTCCTTTAAAGTAACCTGCGAGGCTGTCGGAAATCCTAAACCGGAAATCTTTTGGTTCAAAGACGGACTTCCGTTTGACGCAGACGGGATTAGATATAAGAACGGGAAATCGACGATTAAGCTCCGTAACCTGATGAAAGTAGATTCTGCAGTGTACACATGTCGAGCTCGTAATATTATCGGCGCAATGTCGAAAAATTTTACACTAAATGTGGAAGTACCTCTTGCCGAACAGCCTACAGTTGTAGGAAATGGCAACGTCTCCGTTCTTGTCGGGGACACTGCCTCTCTTCAATGCCGGGTCAGCTCTGGAGATCCACCCCATATTAAATGGTTGAAAAAAGAAAATGCGGGAACCCCAAGTGATATGTTTACGATTACAGTCGGTGATGATAAATACAGGGTGATCCATACAGGAGGAGATATTCCAGTAGGAGTAGGAGAATATCTCAATAAACTTGTTATTCCAGACGCACAGGAGTCAGACTCTGGATTATATATTTGCTTTATAACAAACTCCGGAGGAAGCTTTAACTACAAACCTTCATATTTAAGAGTATACCCGGCAAGTAAGGAACCGTTACCGCCGATGGCGGGTGAATCAACACATATTCTGGCTCTGGTCCTCTGTCTGGGAATTACTGTCCTGCTTATTCTCGTCTTTATTATTGTATGCGTTGTCCGGAAGAGTTCAAAGGCTGAGATTCCTGATAGTCCTGATGTCGTCCGAACTCTTATGCCAGTGTCGAGAAGTACTGAATCCAACGCGACTATAACTACTGTCACGTCAAACAAATTTGATCATCCCCTCCCACCACCACCCTCAATGATGTGGGGTCAGAGCACCATGAAATCCAACCTATATATTGGCGCTTCGCGCGAGTTTGTCTCACTCCACGAGAACTCTTCGACCAACCTGCTGTCGGACCGGGACAGTCCCGTGAGCGGGGGGAACCAATATGAGGTTCCATACTGCTACTCAGTTCGTACTCTGGACAGTCAATTAAAACATTCAGTTACACCAGCATCAGATAGATATCCTTTCAAACAATATCCTTACTTTCATTATCTAAGTGATTATGAAGCTTATTAGAAACAATTAAAATGGATTTTATAAATTTTTAATTTTGAGAGAATTTCATGCTGATTTAAATCAGTCAAAACATTCTTGAGACAAAGTATTTGTTGATTGTTACAGTGAAGTAGAATGAAAAACTAGAATGTGTATGACAAGTAGATATAAAAGACAAGAAGCTAGGAGAATCTGAAACTTGATGTTAAGACAAATTATTTGTTTACTTTGTTCCTTTAACCAGACTGTGATATTATATAAAGTTTTATAGATTTAATCTTGGATGTAATAAATTATTAAAATGTGATATCAAGTTTACTTCTAACAAAAACATTAAATTAAAGGATGTTTTTTTCATATTTTGTCGATCCCTAATGTAGTGTTTCATTTGTAGAATCCTCTTTTAAACTTATTTTAACGGTTTTAACATTTCTAAAAGATATCGGTAGTGGCGCTAATATACTCTCAAAGGAAAAATACTCCAAATGCTCTGTAATGATTAAATTTAAGGAAATCGGTAAGATATGAAACAATATAGTTCATAGAAAAAATATATAGCTAGAGAGGAAGTAGTGTTTAAACAAGTTTACACCATCAGGTTGAACGGTATTAAGATTAGAAAATGTGAGTTTGTGGCAAAGACTCAATTCCTTTCCGGAAACCTGCATTTTACGGTTTCGTAAATAATTTCTTTAGACTATAATCATCTTCTTTAATTAAGAAATTTCTTGATTACCATATCACCATGCGAACCACGCTAGATGTGCAGTGTGCACGCTAAATGTGCAGTGTGCACGCTCTCACGCAAAAGTCGATCTGTGTTTCGCCAATAACTCCTTTTAAACTTAAACGAGAAACAAGCACGTTGCAGTTTTAAAGTGTATATGTCTTGGGATACAAAAAAAGTGTGTCGGTGATGGTGAGATAAAACCAAATCTCAAAGTTAAAGTTAAAGTTAAAGTTAAAGTTAAAGTTAAAGTTAAAGTTAAAGTCGAGGAAGTCTAGCAATTTGATAAATAAAGGAATTGAGTTTTTGCCACAACCTCAAATTTTCTAATTTCTATATCTCTGCAACCAGTGGGAATAAACCTTTGTTATTTCAAACTTGGATTATTTGATCTAACAGAATTAATAGTTTGAAATATCTTAGGTCTACGACATAGGGTTGCCAAGATATAGGGATAAAAATATTACAGTTTGAGGCAAAAAACTCATTTCCTTTCAGAGTTGTCTAAAAGATCTTAAACCCCGAAAACCTTGTTAATGGTGATAAAATAAATTTCTATGTTTTAACATCAAATCAAAATTTATGATTTAGATATTTAATTAATAAAAAAAATGTGTATCTATAAAAAGTTGACGTAATTTACTTTTTGTTTGAACAGATTCTGGGTAAACATGTCAGACTGGAGATTTACATTGTTTACTCGTATAACATAATTCTAGTTTAAAGAGACTCTACATAAATTAAATTACCTCAAGTTAAATCACTGTGAACTAAACAGAAGGAGAAGGCCAACTGCGAAATTACTGGTATGATGTTGTGATCTTGAAGCTCATCTAGTTTAGATTTGATGCATGAGAAAATTATACATTAAAAGCATTTACTTTAGTTTAACATGATATATAAACTAAAACTAAATAAACTAGATTAAAAGCTAAAATTAATAAAATGTTGCTGTTTTAAGAAAATTAGATCTATGTGGAGTCAGCAGTTTAATCATTAATAAAGCTTGTTTTTAATTATAATCTAGAAAAACATGATATTACTGTAAAACCGGTCTTTTACTTTGAACAATAAAATATTTAAATATTTAAATGATAATTTAATTTTTGAAATTATTAATTCATAATTAAAATTTTTCGCGATAACCTTCATTTAATATTTACCATAAACTCTAACCTTTCCGATTTGACTAGATAATATTGTTTACTCTTCGCCACATTATATAGATAAGATACAAGCACAAACTCTACTAACAATTTTATAATTAAGCAATTGCAGTCTTAACGAAATTATCTTTGGTACGGTTTAAAAATCGTCTTTATTATACTTGGCCTTTTGAGCATCCAAAGAGTATTTTTTCAATTTTGTATTAAAAGCTTCATAGTTCAGGTTTCCTGTTATGATTAGAACAAAAACTTAAAATAAAATTAATTCCTGCAATGCAAAACTTCATTTTTAAAACACGTCAGATTTAAGTAAGTTCTGGCGTTAAATTGATATCTTACTTTTTAACTGTGCTACAAGCTACTCATTCTGAAGGTATTAAGATGAAAAAAAATTTAAAATTTTCGATATCTAGCCAAAGTTTAAATTATGTAAGATCAAGTAGTCTACGAATTAAAAAATGAAAGGTTTAAATAATTGGGCTGCAAAGAGATGACAAAGGGATTAGAAAATTTTAGTTTGTGGCAAACAAACAATTTCTTTTTCTTTTTCTTCATGACTAAAATAGGAGTGTACATACAAATTACCTAAACTTATTTAAATTTACACTAATCAACTAAAATTTAATGTAACATTAAAAAATCAGAATCTGTCAATAATATCATTTTATCATTTTTAAAGTTCTTGACTGGACAACCCCCCCCCCCCCCCCCCCCCCCCCCCCCCTACCCCCTCGTTGATATCCTGCAGCAATGTTTAGGCATGTGTGTCTAAACAATGTCAACAAATGATTGATATCAGACCGAGAACTACTGAACTTCATCACAATCTTGTCTAAACACGCTGTAGTTAGTTTATCAATTAAACAAACAATTTAGATACTATACCTGGACTACACCAAACTCAATGGTGTACCCCTTGTAGTTATAACGCCTAGATGTATTTTTCACACCCGGAGATAGATTTTAAACTTGCTTGGTTAAACCAGCACTTTAGATTCTATTTTTACAAATCAGTAACGTCCAACATAATTTTCAATCAAAACTTTAGTTAAGTGTAAAATTATAACATGATCGAATAGTAAGAATTGGAATATATCTCTGAACAAAAAATAAATCAATTCATAAGAGATAGATATAAATATAAAGAATACGAATCCTTGAATAGTTCATAAAAATTATTGACAAGCAATCTTGACACGTTCCGCGCCTCATTAGTTCTTGACGTTTTAGGTCTATTTAAATATTGAGGCTTTTTTCTTTTCAGTTTTGATATCAATCTTTTCATTATCAGAGGAGGTTATTTGATGCTATCATGATTCATCAACTGCCTTCATCATGATTATTCATTACTATGATCTGCATAATTTATATTTTAACGGGTAGTTTTACATAAAAGATACACCATTAATTCGGTGATATTATTATATAGAATTTTTTCACACACTATATAATGATGTATCTACTTATATTTACCGATAATTTAGAGAATCTATAGAGTGAAACCCTTAAAACCACTTAAAGTTTATGCCAGTCAAAAAATGCAATTTTAAAGATCAAAGAACAAGAAGATGTCTGCTACACAAACCTTAAACTTTAAATATATTTATTCTTTTAACTCTTCAATTTCAGAACTTTACTTGTACGATGTACACAGAACCGTTTAAAATTCTTCCATCAACTATTGTTGAAAATTTAGTCCCATGGGCCGAGGGGGGTTGAGGGGCTGAGAGGGGTGTTATAGGGGCTCCTTGGGGACCTAACCCCCCCACCTTGTCCCTCTATATTGAAATGCCCCTGTAGATGTACTGATGTCTACTGTTGTGTCCCCTTAATAGAGGATAATCCCGGGATCCTTTAGGATACCAGGATACCAGGGACACTAGGTTGACCGAACCTACCTAAAACAGATAAGCTGACCTACAGACTGCTACTATAGAATAAAAGTTCACTTTATATTTTAGATGGAATTCTTGGAAACCCAAAGATAGCTTTTTTCTAAAGAGCTTGTTTTAAAAAATAGATTATCTCTGTTTAATTCTGGACTCTGCACCGATCTTACAAAGTCGTTAAGGTAGTTCTACAAAACATGCACATCTTCCAATTTTGTTTAGATTATTTAGAACTACTCAAGTCCAGGTAAAAGAAAAACATTTTTAAAAACTTGTTTGTCATCGTAAACATGTAACTTTGGTTTGGTTTGACCCTTTTTTCTTCATAAGCTTGTATATTTACAAATTATTCATAAATAAATGTAATGCAGCTTATTAGTTTAGTATTCTCACTGCACTGAAATTTAAATTAAAGCCAATTCTTTTGGATTAGCAAGGTAATGTTAAGTGCTATGGACAATTGAAAAAAGTTTTTTTTCATAAATCTTAATCTGAAATCTATGAGTCGTTTTATTAAAAATCTACTTTAGTTCTCAATCTCATTAAATTAACTTGATAAATAAAAAAATATATCTTCCTATAATTTATCAGGTTAATGTTTCATCCCATTTTTTTCAATTTTAAGAGAATTTTTACCCCGCACAGTTTCGTAATCTTTGGTGTAAAAAAATGTTCTTAGTTAATTGTTCAGAGGAAAATAACTAACATTAAAAATTTCGCATATTTTTATGGAACTTTTTTAATCTCGAAAGTAGTGAGGGATTAAAAAACTAGAATTTAAACCTTAAACAAACTTAAAATGCACAAATCCCGAAAAAAAAACATTTTGTGCCGCCGGATTACACAAGGCCGTTGCAAATAGATATAATTTCACTGTAAAGGGACAATTCATTTGGTTTCGTGTCCTTTTCTTACCTTATGCGATCTGTATCCATGTTCATATTTGCTCTAGGTACCTAAGGTACCTAAAGATCGGTTCGAAAGTTCAAATTAACCAAATTTTACAGTGTACTATAATAGTCTATCGATGTAAACCTTGAGACTCAAAAATTGGAGTTTCTGTTGAAAAAATAATTTAAACGTTCGATTTTGAAGACAAAGACGAGCTCAAGGAACCCCTTAATCCCTCTTTTTTGAAAAAAACTTCTTTTTTGATTGGCTGATTTTTTTTAAAAATCCTGATCTCAACGTACACGCGATGAAGTTATTCTGTACCTAAATTCTATCCGGAGAAGGGGGAAGGAAATTTATTCTCTCAATATTGACAGGGTGTTGAAAGGAGGTGGAAAGAGAGGGAGATNGTCTGCTAGGGATACAAGGTGTAGGTTTGTCTACTAAAGATACTAGCTGTAGATGTGTCTGCGAGTAAGGATTAAGTATTTCTGAAAATAGAAACTAGCAGGTTAGGGTTAAAGATAGATAGATAAATAAGTTGGTAGACAGATAGATTAAATAGCTGATACGATGTCTGTGTTCTACTGTTGGAAATAAAACGGAAAACATTAAATTAATCTATTTCTAAATT